TTAATTATTTAATAATTCAAAAATTTATTAATTTGATCAATCGGAACTAATAGTATTATAAAACATATAAAAAAAAATTTTTTACCATTTGTGTAATAGCTGGGTGATTCAGGTACTCGTTTCCTAATTTGGGACGGTCTCCCCTGGATCTTATTTGTTTACCGGGTGATCTGGATAACCCAGATATACCCGAATAACTAAGAAGTCTAACCGCGGTTAACCCGAGTAAGGTTTTTTGAACGGGTCCAACCCTTACGCCCAATAATATTATTTTCATGTGATTTTTTTATGACTTTGCTGAAAATTTTTGATCAAATTTGGTCCCTGCATACACGTCTGCAAAGTCATGAGATTCGGAATATTCTGAAAAGAAATGAGTGAGCATAAAAGACGAGCGAGGACAAGACAAAATTTTGCTAAAATTCCTAGATTTCTGAACCGAACTAACCTGGTTATGAGCATAATTTTATTGGCTAGCTCTATACAGAACTGTTCGTTATAGAGAGAGAAATTATATAATGAATTTATTCTATACCAGGACAAAATCTTCTAGAACATGCAGTTCGATATATGCAAAGTCGATTGTATTAGCTTCTGAGATCAAATTTTCGGTGATTGAGGATTTACAATTCGAATCATATATTTAACATATGGGTGAAAATCTCCAATTTCGTGATGATTTAATGTAAGTGATTAGGTTAAATAAAATTTGAGCCAATCATTTATGTGATATGGCATGATTATTGAGAATAAAGGTAGATTTTTGATCAGAGATTGTAAGCCTGATAATAAATTGCTTATGAATCGCTTATGAATTTACTCATAAATTTGTACTTGATTGTAATCTGATGCTTATAAATTTTTGTATGTATGTATCTAATTGTGACCTAATTGCTTATAAATTTAATAATCACCATGTTTCAACTGGCACATATGAATCAAATGATGCATAATCTTGCCAATCTTTTGTAAAGCTGGTATTTTCTATATAACATGATGAAAGTTACATGAAATCTTATTTACTGAAACTTAAGTAAAATTACATGTATTGTAAAATTGTTCGGATCTGCTGAACTTTTTATCTGGATTAAGTTTCTGTTATTAAGCTAAAAATAGGAAATAATATATTAAATTTAACAATAACATTTTATATCTATATATTTAATTAATTTTTCTTCAATAAATAATCACTCTTCGTGGGTTGATATTTTTATTTTTAATGGGTCGATATTTTGAATCAATTAAAGATACAATAATTTATTAAAATGCTCTGAATATGTGTAAATCATTAAGCTTATTCAATTTTGCCAGATCCTTTTTGCCTAATATGGTTTATGCTGTGTAATAAGTATGACGTTTTGTTCATGTAGTGTAATAGCATTTGCTATATAAGGTTGGTGGCTCTGCTGCTTATGGTAATTTGTGCTATAAGATCATCAAACTAATTTCCTCATAATATCTAAAAAAGGAAATTTGCTTTTTACGTTTTTCTATATTTATACTATATACTTATACTATATACTTATACTATTAAGTATACGTATTACGTATACGTATACTTCTACAAGTAAAGAAAAAATGAAAAAAAGAAAAAAAGAAAAAAAAAAAAACTTTTCAAAAACAGGTTGATACTTATTAAACCATGTCTTTTTGTTATTTTTATGAATACTCTATCTGACATTTATTTATACTCTTGGGTGTTTTTTTTCATTTTTGTTTTTATTACTTTTAGATTTTTTACTGGCTTGATGAATTGATAATCGCTGATTTTCAAAGGAATAGCGAAAAGCCTTAACGAAAGGTTTGTTCATTAATTGAGTATGTTTGTTCATTGTAACCTTATTATTGCTTGATCGTTATCGTACATGATAATCTGAGACTTATTTTTTCCTGTTCAATTTACTCAAGATCGCCAAAAATTTACTAATTGTAGATTAGGCTAGGCTCGTATTACTTAATATTGATGTGAAGATCGTGAAAAAAAAAACTAGTACATACGAGACCAGGATCATAATGTGAGTGTACTTGATTTATATTCATTTTTAATTAAATTATGTATTACAGTATTACCAGAACCTGATTCCATATGATTATCATTACTGGCTACCATAATTACTGTTTTATGCCTATTTTACATTATTATGAAATTATTATGAATAATAATTACATTATTTACGATAAATATTTTCTCATTATGAGCCTCAATGTGAAGGTCAGAAAAACATGTAATATCAGGTAATTTAAATATATGTTTAGTCATAAGGTTTTTTATTTTTATGCGACAAACTTAATGATCATAATTTTATTAAAACCTGTAATGAATAATTATATTATTTCTGTATTTCGATAACGATAAATATTTTCTCATTACGAACCTCAATGTGAAGGTCAGAAAAACTTGTAATATCAGGTAATTTAAATATATGTTTAGTCATAAGGTCTTTTATTTTCATACGACAAACTTAATTTTATTAAAACCTGTAATGAATAATTATATTATTTTTGTATTTACGATAACAATAAATATTTTCTCATTACGAACCTCAATGTGAAGGTTAGAAAAACTTGTAATATCAGGTAATTTAAATATATGTTTAGTTATAAGGTCTTTTATTTTCATATGACAAACTTAACGATCATAATTTTATTAAAACCTGTAATTTGATTAAATAAAGTATTAAATGTAATATTAAAATAGTCTTGCACATGAAAACGTAATCAAAGAATATGATAACGGGCAATTAAAGGATCACAATAGAGATATGTATAATCAATTTACATATGAAATCGTGTGTTTAGGAAGAATTAATTTTGAATTCATTATCTCAAAAAAACGTATGTATGAACATATATAAAATAAATGAATTTTCTCTAGCATCTACTTTTTGTGCGTTATCATTATAATAAAAAAATGCCATCCACTATAACCACCATGTGTTATGTCACCGATAGACAAGAAGTGACTACGAATAAGGCTCTCACCATCGTCAAGGCTTCTGGAGTAATGCGTATTAGAAATAGTACTTCTCCCTTGAATGTCCTCTTAATTGGATTTTATTCTCAAGATGATGACACCCCAGATCCAACTTTAGCGACTTTTTCGTCTGAAGATGTACTTTTGGTATCTGGGAAATTTAGATTCGTAGATGATGTAGATGAGACTGGAAGAAAATTTCCTATATTAAAAGTATATCTAATATTAACAATAAACATGATCTCTTTGTAGTAGTTTTTCTAATTAAAAAACAATTTTTTTTAGATTGTTCTACACCATGTTGTTCAACTTCTCATTGATCCAAGTGACTTACCTGCGTTTCCCCTTTTAATTAATATGACTGCTATCATACTTGAACCTCCACGAATTGATCATGATCATGATGATGTTATATTAGTTGTAGAAACAAAGGATTTCATGGATCAAGATCATACTAGCCTTATATTAGAATGTTATCATCAAAAAACAGCTCAGCATCTTACTCCAACTACTACCTCTGCAAAAAAAGGTTCTACTCTTTTTATGAATGGAGAACTCTTGGTTGACGAAAACTCTTTTATTGTTCATCTCCGTGGCATAAACTTTTGTGAATATCAAAAACTGACTAATGCAAAAAATCTAACTAATCTTCCATGGTTACATAAGTTAGATGAAACTCCAACAAGTAATTCAAGTACAGAAAAAAGTACACGAACGATCGCATCGAGAGTTAAAGGTGGCAGAAGAAAAAAGGTGCCATCTACAACAAGATCTTACATTAATCTGAAAGATCACCCAAAAGTAACAGATCTTGCTAAAAAAGCGTTAAGCCAAAATCATGATATTCCTGATCTCTCCGCCCCTTAAAAAATATTTAAGATTTTTAAATTTTTTTTTTTTCTCCTTAAATAATATAAGGAGTTTTTTTTTTTTTTCTTTAAATAACACAAAGATTTTTTTTTTTTTTAGTAAAAATACGAATTAAATATATTTACTGATAGTTAAAATTTTATTTTTTTTTAAATGTACATATATTATATAAATAAATAAAATTTTTTATATTCATTAAATCAATACAATTAAATTAAGATGTTTTAACTGCACACTAATTTGTATTAAATTATTTTATATTAACATACATCAAAATTTTTACTAGGTATAAAAGCGTGTATTTGGAAATACAACCCAATAAAAATTTCAATTTCGGTTAAAATCTCTCTAAGCATGGTTTTGCTGTGTATCAACCCATATTGTCTTTTAAATTTCCAACACTGCTTCCGACCCTTTCTTAAATAATCCCTTTGATTATTAGATAATACCCGATTATTAATAATTATATCCTTATTTAGCATCTTTATATTATCATTAAGTCTATATCACGTTAACTATTGGAACTAAACTTCGTTGCATTATCTGCTCTTCCGATTTACAATAGTAACAACATACCTACATTATTATACTAAACATATTTACCTTAAACATTTATATCCTCTATTTAGTTATTGGCTATTGCTCAGCCCTTATTTATTAATCTAAATATATTACAAGATATATCTCTTTAACTACTTTTATCACCTAAATTTCTTCGTTTGGTATTTCATATTACTCATTTTACTATGCCCATTATTACCATATTTATGCAATTGTACGTATATACATGCAATTGCTATAAATATATATATACCTTATTTAGCTATTTTTTTTTTTTTTTTATTCTTTGACAGTCTCGTCGGTGCTACATTTATAAGTTAATACACTAAACTAAAGTTTTAT